CCATAAACGTATTTCTTGGTAAAGAATTGTTGCAAGCATCAATTTTTAATAAATTAGCTTTAATATTTACTGATTTATCGAAGATTTTGTATTTCTCTAAATTACCGTTATATGGGATGTGGGCGTGGTTATTGTCCGATTTTAAAAATTTTCGGCCATTTGGTATGCTGTGCGAAGGCCAACAACTGTGTGGAAGAAATTGGTGCAGCGGTTCCTAAGATATACACATGTAACCATAAGTGGGCGTGGCTACGCCCATTTTCCAAAAATGTATAATATTCTTATTTTTCGTCAAAAAGTTATTGTAAATATCAATCTTGAGTGAATTATCTTCAGTAGTTACTAAAATATCGCAGTTTTCGTATTTCTGGAAATTACCGTTATATGGGAAGTGGGCGTGGTTACAGTCCGATTTCGCCCATTTTCAATACCAACCTACCTTGGATTAAGGGAAACCTACATACCAAATTTCGTTGAGATATCTCAATTTTTGCTCGAGTTATCGTGTACACGGACAGACGGACGGACAGACAGACATGGCTTAATCGATCTATTTTTTCATCCTGACCATTTATGTATACATTTGTCTATATCTATCTCGATTCGTTTTGGCTATTACAAACAACCGTTATGCGAACAAAATTGATATACCCTTGTGCACAAGTGCGCTCGGGTATAAAAACCCAGCGACCATCTCAACACTAAAAAGTTATCGTTCGTGAGGTTAATGGTATCCCAACATCACTTCTCCAGCGAGTGGCTCGGAGTACGGAGGCCAGATTTGAAGAGTGTATCCGACGTAACGGTGAACATTTTAAGAGGAATAATTTTTAAAAAACAAAATCCGCACTTGTCTTCTTTGTAATAGTTATTGAAATAAACTTTTAGCATTAGTAATTCTTTTTTAATTTAGCTTTTAATTCCTAATTCTGCCACCGGACACCCTTTATGTACATACTTTTTATACGGTTAACAAACGGGCTCACTTATCTGCATAAACCGTCTTTATTTGCATAACTCGTGCATTATCCTCTTTCAAATGCGGCTGATCATATGCATAAAAATTACGTGCATTTGTTCGAGCGTCGAGATATAATTTTGTGTACATATTTCATAAAAGCTATGGAGGTCTCCACTATAAGAGTGGTATGTATATTTGAAAATTAGAGAGTTCTACCTTTAAGCTAAGTAATACTTGCTTTACCCCCTAATCGATGGGACCATTTTCCAAAGTCAGTCCACTCAAAGTTGTGTTCGGAACACGTTATGACTTATGTAGGAACTACATACAGTCATTCTCGCTTACGCTTCACGCTTGGAATTTTGTTTTTCTCGGTACTTTATTTTATGGGACTTGAAAATATTTTTCACTATAAAAAATATTAAAGTTGGATTTCATTTAGGTTAACGAAAACGACAACTGTGAAAAAATATCAACCAATACATTCAAACAAATTGTCAAATAAGCATATTTACATTTTTTGTTTTGTCTATCTGGATTACTGCCCAGTAGAACTTGGGAGCATCGTACGATTGCTCGGTTAGTACTCCCTTGGGAGTATACGAATACTCCCCATTGCTCCCTATGCTTCTGTGTATATGCATGTAATTTTGTATACTCCCTTTAACATTGGGTGTCCTAGGAGGGGGAGTAATCCCTTTTACCTTCTAAACGAGCAATCGGGGAGCACACACAGAATTATCATCCCACAAACCTTCTAATGGAGCAATACGGGAGTACTCCCATAGTTACCTCCCAGAAACCTCCTAAAAAGACAATAAGGGAGTGCACATAGAAAACATCCCATATTCCTCCCGAAAGAGCAATAAGGGAGTGCTCCCATTAGAGGCATCCCGAAAGCCTCCTATAGGAGTAATAAGAGAGCAATGATAACGAACATTTTAAATTAGCCAAATAGATTTTGCTATTTATTAAATTTTTTATTTAACTTTTTAATCACGTGCATTTGTGCAATTTTACAAGATCTTAACAGATATAAGTACGAGATCAGATAAAACATAAATGATACATCTTACATAATTGCTTAATTTTAGAATTATATTGCAAAGAAATCATATGAAAGTATAACATAATAATAACAAAACGGTAAGATAAGATTTGAATTATATGCACCTATATGCACATATAAGTATGTACTCGTATATGATTTCCTGGGTGTCAAGGATGCTTGCCTGTTCAGGAATCCACCAAGCGGGGAAATTGTGAAGGTGACTTTGCTTATCTGACATCTTTGTCACCCATGTGATGTTTAAACCCGGGGGTCACACTTAAATGCAAACACTAATTTGCGCAATCTGAAAAGTATTTAACGGTATATTTATAAGTAAGACAATACTTAATAGGGGTATTCTCTGAGTCTTGCAAAGCCCTTGCACGGTGCACGGATTGCGCGGTTGGCAAAGCTGTCCCATACGAGAACCGGTTTTAACCGTGCAATCTGTGCACCATGCAAGGGCTTTGCAAGACTCAGAGAATACCCCTAATATATTTAAACAAAAGTTGAGGTACATACCAACGGACTTTTATTCAAATCTGTGTGCTATCCAAATTAGATTATTGTGTCCTCCTTATGCGTCTATAAGGAATATTTTCTGGTTTTTTTTTCTGATGAATTTTTTCCGAAAACACAAAATTTCTTTTGAACGAGGTGCGTATTGCTCTCCTATCAAACAAAAAGAATACTCTTGGATTTCTCGCTTAGGAGACATCACTTTTTAATCCTAAACGAGTAATAACGTAGTACAAAACCGACAAATCTCGCTTATTGCTCCCAAAACATGCCTCAGGGAGCATTCTTTAATTGCTCGCTTAGGAGATCTCTCATTACGCTCCTAAGCGAGCAATACATTAGGACAAAACCGACAAATCTCGTTTATTGGTCCCAAATCATGCCTCAGGGAATATTTCGTCGCTCGCTTAGGAGATCTATATGATTCCTAGACGAGTAATAAAGGAGTAAAAAACCGACAAATCTCCCTTATTGCTCAGAAATCAGGTTAAGGGGAGTACTCTTTTATTCCTCACATAGGGAGATCTCCCTTCAAGTTCTAGTGGGTGTATACTGTGGTATGTATGTATGTATGTACATCTATTTATTTTATATACAAAGAATAAATTGTATTCAGTTAGATAATGAAAACAAAAACGCCCGTGATTCCTCTTTGAAAAGCTCGCGCAATATCCCTTTTGGTTGCTAATATTGCCAATTTTTCGTATTGCCCGTATTACCGCTGCGAAAACACAGAAATCGAGAAAATTCATTTATGATGACTTACAATCATGCACAGTATATTTTACTTAATTTTTTTTTATAAAATTTTATTTAAACCCACGAAAATAACAATCTAAACGTTCTCCGTCAACAAATTTGCAACTTAGGCCCTTATTATGAGCTGCATTCGATTTTCGATCTTCGCTGGCT